GCAGGCTTCCTTCTGCTTCTCAGCCCTTGGATTAAAATTAAAGGAAGAGGGGGAAGAAGAAGAAGAAGAAGAAAAGGATGGTGTTGAGAGGAAGGCAGGCGTGGCTTTAAGCTCTCTTTTGAAAGTCGAAAGTGGAGCCTCGTAGGCATTGAGGGAGGGAGATGCTCGGAGCCATTCAGACGGTGTGGAGAGTAGGCTTAGATGGAGAAGCACCGCCTAAATAAGGTGCCAGAAACAATCTGTTGGTAAATTTGTGCCCATAGGGTGCCTTGGATCTTGCATAGGCGTATTCTAATACAGGGCAGAGTATAAGAAATGACAACTATTTGGATGAATGGAAAGTGTTTATGAAAAAGGCAAGAGCATGGGTCACTTCGGTAAAAGTAGTTTGCTAATTAAATAACCGCGTTAGTCTTCCACGTGTTCGTAGTAGGATGCCGGTAAGAGTTAAATGTTAGTGTGTTTTTCTTTGTGAATTGCAAGCATGATGCTTATCTTTAATTGGGTTTGAGTCTTCCAAATTCTTGGGGGGGGGTCTTTGTTTCCATTCCAGTCCTACTTTAGGGGTGCAGTATAAACATGAGCGCGTACATTACAGTTTTGCCTTTGTTAATTCTACACACACACACACACGAATCCGGCGAGGCCCACTTTGGAAGATTAATTAAGAAAACCAGCGTCGGTTTATGCGTGGAGATTTATGGCTGATTTGGAGGGGTTGTGTGTGTGTGTCTATAAATGTAGAGAGAGCAGGACAGGCTTCCCCTTTCATTGCACGTGTGAATTGAGAAAGTTGCGCGGTTTCCCTTCTCCCTCAGTCATTTTCGGGCGAAACCGGTTCCTTCCGCGCAGGCAGGCTTACAAAAAACCGGGCGTGGGGATTCCCACGCTTGGGGCTTCGGGGCCGAGAGATTCAGAGGTGGAGACTTCGGCGGCTGGATAGAGTGGGTGTTTTGGAGCCGTGTGCGTGGCTGATTCTTTGCCTAGGACCGACGGGTTCCCAGAATGCTTGCCTCCAGAGAGTCAGCGACTAAAACTAGCTAGCAGGGCTTCAAATTGGAAGTAACCTTTTGAGTGTCCCGTTTACCTGGGAAATACCTGCCCCGAGGTAAATGACACCCGAAGCTGAACGACGAAGAGAAAGCGAAATATAATCATTCTGATTATATTTTGATGGCGCTCATTTGTCTATTTGTTCGAAGTTGGAGCCCAGGGCAGCTTTGGAAAACGCGCCAGTGTTTTGATCTCGCTTCCACGTTTTTGTGTCACCGGAGTGAACTTTTTACGGGTCTCCCTCTGAATTATTCTGTCTAGTTCCGGATTCTTCTTTTAAAAAACAAAAACAACCCCCCCAAACAACAACAACAATAACAACAACTCAGAAGAGTCTTAATTGGGATCTCCGGTGCTTTCGAACTGCCCTGCAGCGCCCCTTTTTGCTGAGGAGAGGGGAGCCCCGGAAAGGCGGCGGAGGGCTAAAACCGAAGCCGCTTGCGACGATGGAGGGTTGGGTTTCCTTCATGCCTCCGGTATGGTGTTGCTCCAGGAGTTGTGCCGAGGCCTGCTTGCTCGGCGGCGGCGGCGAAATGCCTCTTGTTATGATAAGCTGGCAGGAAAAGTGGAACAGGCCTGTCATTCCCGCGGATTCGCTGGCGGGGAGCTGCCCAGCCAGTTGGACGGGTTGAGCCCAGCCTGGGAGCCCGAGCTTGTCCGGGCCAGTAAAGCGGCAGTCGCCTCCCTCTTTTTCCCCCTTCCTTCCCTCCCTTCCTCCCTCCACCCCCCTCTCTTCGCCACCCTCTTCCCCGATCTCCAGTCCCAAAAGGGGGGAAGGCTCCTCTGGGCTCCCAGGAGGCGGAGAGGAGCTCCGCAGCCCCGATTCCCTGGGGGGGAGAGGATTGAACGCCTGGGGGAGACGGGATCCCACGCGCCTAGGAGGGAGGGGACAGCCCTACTCCTCTGCTCGGGGATCCGGCCAAGGCCCGCAGCGCCAGCGCCAGCGCCTCCTCCTCCTCCTCCTCCTCCTCTTCCTCCGGGCCCTGGAGTCATGGACCTGACGCAGCAGGACGCCACCGGAGTGGAACTGCCGGGCCCGCCTGAACGCAGGCAGCCGAAAGCCGGGGACACCAAACCGGAGCCCGAGAGCGGCACCTCTGGGGTCAAGAGGGGGGCCGGAGCCCGGCAGTTGCTAGCCCTGTCCTTTCAGGCGCCCGACTTCACCCCGCCGCCGCCGCCGCCGCCGCCACCCGAGGTGCGCCTCCCTTTGCCTTGAGCTTGGTTCCTAGCGCCACTTCTCCACTGCTAAGCTTCCCCTCCTGGCTCTCTCCCGTTCGCCCTTCTCGCCCTCTCTGCTTCTGCAAGTTTTTCAGCATGCCTGGCTGCCTTCTTTCCTAGTTTTCCTTCTCCTCGTTCTGCTTTCTTTCTTTCCTTCCTTCCTTCCCTTCTTCCTTCCTTCCCTTCTTCCTTCCTTCCCTTTTTTCCTCCTTCCTCCCTCCCTCCCTTCCTTCCCTCCTTCCCTTCTTCCTTCCTCCCCTTTTCCCTCCTTCCCTTCTTCCCCCCTTCCTTCCTTCCCCCCTTCCTTTCCCCCTTCCCCCCTTCCTTCCTTCCTTCCTTCCTCCCTCCCTTCCTTCCTTCCTTTCTTCCTCCCTCCCTTCCTCTAATGCCCTTTCCCATCCCTCCTCTTTCCTCTGGCCTCTCCAGATTCTTTTCCCACCCATTCTCTCTGCACCTTACTCTCCTTTACTCTGCCTGCCTTGGCTTGTCTAGCCTCGCACCCACCCGTTTGCTGCTCTCCCTGGCTCTCTTTCTCTTTCACTTCTGCCTGCCCTGCAACCTTTTAAAATGTTGCCCCTTTCCTGTGATTCGTCAGACGCAGCCACGGCATGACTCTCTCTCTCTCCCCCCCCCCGCGTCCCTTTTTGTCTCTCTCTCTCTCTCGCTCCCCCACCTCTGATTAGATACACTGATTCTTCATTCAATGGACGTCATTTAGAACAGCCTCTGCTTTGAGTTGCTTCCTCGCTTCACGCTCGATTTCCAGCCATTCTTCCCTTATTAAGCATTCGTGTAGTATTAATAGTCATGAATATCTGCTATTAGGAGTCTTAAGGAAAGCGGGCTGCAGATTCCTCTCCCTCCCTCCCTCCCTCCTTCCCTCTCTCTCTCTCCCTCCCTCCTTCCCTCTCTCTCTCATTTAGGAACTCACGTGCAGCAGTAAAAGGAGGGAGGGAGAGAGAGAGAGAGCGAGGTGGCGACCAACGCGCACACACGCACACCACCCGCAAACGGATTAAGGAACACACACACACACACATACACGCGCGCGCACCCCGGGCTCAACTTTGAATCGTGAACTCTCACGCCAAGGATTCCGGCTCTCGCCTTCGCTGCTGCAGAAACGTCGGGCATTCGGTTGTTGGACTGATGGATTATAGGCGCGCTTGCCCAGTGCTGGCGGACAAGCCTGGGCGTTGGGGACTCGGGGTGGTTTAAACCCGGGCTCCTTCCATTGTGTGTGTGTGCGTGCGTCCGTGTGTGTGTGTGTGTGTGTATGAGAGAGAGAGAGAGACAGAGCGCTTGTGTGCGAGAGGGAGAAAGAGAGAGGGACAGAGCCAGAGTACGGCTAGGAAGCGAGCGAGCGAGCGAGACCTAAAAGAGTCCCACTTTTTTCTGCCTTTTTTCCCTCCTGGCCTGACTTGGTTCCCCCCGAAATCCGCGCAGATGTTAGTTCACAGTTTCTCAGCGATGGTGAGTGTGCTTCAGATTTCTCATATCTGTGGGTGGGTGGTGGGAACCCCGTTCACCATCATGCTTTTCCCCCACATCTTCTGGGGTGGAGGGGTGGGTGGGTGTCCGGCTGGCCGGGTGTCACCTCCCGCCGAAATCTCTCCTCTTTCCGCCTCTCCCTCCCCCCTCTGCTCGTTTTGCCCAAGCTTCCTTCGGGGCTCCTTACTTTGGCTGCTCCCAGTAAACTACAAAAGGCTAGCCATGCTTCCACACCCGTCCATTGTGTTTTGTTTTGCTTTGCTGTTTCCCCTCCCCTTCCGATTGAGTTTCACCTCTTCTTTCCGCTCTGGTCCTTTCCCCGATTAATAACGCTCCTGGGGAGACTAAAGTCCAAGGCAGTTAACAGCCCCCCTTTCTATATTTATTTCCTGGCTACCTCTCCCCTCCCCCACTCCTTCTATTTGGATGGCTGTTAATTTCCTTGAGACGTACCTGCGGGCTATAATTTCATAATTCACCAAAGTCCCGGTTGTACAAAAAAAGCAAAAAAAAACCCCTCTGGCATTTCCCCTTCCTCTTCATCTTGATATTTCCCAACCGTTTCTCTTAATTTTGCTGCCTTGTTATTTACACGTAAAAGACGATTTTGCATGTACACGTTATATGTGGATGTGTGTATGTCTGTGTGCATTTTACACGCGCACCTACATACTCCCCGGCTGGGTATTAGAGGAATGATTTGATTTCAATCAATGGAATAGTACATTGTTTATCCATTTTGGTCCCATGCTAGATTTGTAAATGCTGACATGTGGCATACTTATATTTAAGTATCCCCTCCTCCCCCCAAAAAACCCTGTTTTTTTTTCCATGGCATTTTGGGTGTCGTTTTCCAGGGCCAAAGAAGGACTAATGCAGCAATGGTGCACTTTCACTTTTTAGAGAAAGGAAAAGAGTATTTGTTTGCTCTCTTTCACTTCTTTTTTGACAATAATGACCGTAGGCTTTTTAAAAACAAAAGGTTCTCTTCCAGAAGGGAATATCTCGGAGGCTGCTTTTGACTCTAGTCTGAGCGCAAATATTGTATCTATCTGATAGGGTTTTTTTTTTTTAATAGGGTGATAAACATTTGGCCTAATCCACAGTTCGATTTTGACTTCTCTTCCCCCTTCTCTCTGTTTGTCTCTCTCTCTCTCTCTCTGGTCTCCCCGTCTCCCTTTTTATGTTCTTATTCATCAGGACCGCCACGACGCGACCAGCAACGGGACAGCCCGGCTACCCCAACTGGGGAGTGTGGGCCAGTCCCCTTACACCAGCGCACCTCCGCTCTCGCATACACCGAATGCCGACTTCCAGCCCCCTTATTTCCCACCTCCATATCAGCCCATTTACCCGCAGTCTCAAGACCCGTATTCTCACGTTAACGATCCGTATAGCTTGAACCCTCTTCACGCCCAGCCTCAGCCCCAGCACCCGGGCTGGCCGGGACAGAGGCAAAACCAGGACACGGGGCTTTTGCATACGCACCGCGGACTTCCCCACCAGCTCTCTGGCTTGGATCCCCGAAGGGATTACCGGCGGCATGAAGATCTCTTGCACGGACCTCACGGCTTGGGCTCAGGACTAGGAGATATTCCCATTCACTCGATACCTCATTCGCTGGAAGACGTGCCGGTAAGGAGACCCGTGTGGCGGGGAGGCAGGCGGCTTCCTGCCGGCTCTTTTTTTTCCTCTTTTTTTTTCTTCCTCGCCCTGCCACGCTTCTTCTCCTTCTTCCCCTCCCCCGCTCCCCACCAGGGGATGGGAATTACAGTGTGCATTTCAAGCCTCCAGCACACCCTCCATGAAGGGAAACAGCAATGGTGTCTCGCGGTTAGCAACAGCAAGAGTTGAATTTGTCTCTCGCCAATGTCTTCAATTGCTAATGCAGAAAAATAGCTCTTTGCTTTTTGTTGATGGGGAGTGGAGGAAGAAAGAGGGAAGGATGAAAGGAAGGGAGGGAGGGAGGGAGGGAGGGAGGAAGGAAGGAAGGAAGGAAGGAAGGAAGGAAGGAAGGAAGGAAGAAAAGACGCCAAGAACAGAATTCCCCTGACTGGCGTCCTTGGCCACGCTGCCTTGTTAGTGACAAAGCGAGGTAACTCTTGGGAAGGCTGTGTCACCTTAAGAAGCCTGGCCTTAAGTCGGGTTTTGGCTGGCTTGAAAAAGAAAACAAAAACTGACCCAAAAGCTTTCTCCCCACTTGTTTGTTTGGAAGGTGGGGAGGAGGAAGAGGAAGAAAAGAATGAATTGCAATTCTTCGGGTTGCAAACACGGCGTAGGAAATGGCCTAGGCCCATCACCCCTACACAGGGAAAAAGAACAATGTGTTTCTGTTGCTGTTGTGGTTGTTACTATTTTAACTTAAGATTTTGGAGCGCCTTAAATGTTTTTTATTATTATTATTATTCGGGTCAGGATCTGGTTTCTTTCATCCGCAGATATAATTTGAATAGAAAGGTGGTGTCTCCCCTCCTATCTTTTAACAGTCTAGAGCCCTTTATAGCCAGGGGCGAGCACCATCTGAGTCTGGCTGCAAAAGAGGGTTATTTCTATATAAAAAAAAAAATCTACCCCACTCTCCTAATGAATGCAGAATTTAAACAAGCCAGTAATTTTACTCCTGCTTCTTGTGCCATTGGTGACATTGGATAGAAAACATTTGTGGGCAAAGGGGAAAGGAAGTTTCTAATATTAGCCTAGGATTTGTTTTGGTTCCCCTTACTAAAATGTCACCGCAGATGATTGGATCAAATATTATCCCCGTATGTTCACTGACAGTTTAATGATTTCCAATCCCACTGTTGCAAGGATAATTTTGGCCACCGGTTCCTTTCAGAAAGCGATTTCCTCCTCTCCTTTATTCCATTCATTTTTTTTTATTAATCCACATTTGAAGAAAACGGAGGAATTCATTACAGCCCCAACTCTCTTATTCCAACCCCCCAAAGAAAATTGTGCTTAGGTTTTGTTTTGCAAAAAAATAAAAAAGGCCATGCCTTAAAGTATCCACATCTTTGTAGGAATTTAGGCGCTTTTTTTGAGGGGGCAGGGAAAGCCACAACAGCCAGTTTTCTTTTCATTTAAAAAGCAAACTCCAAAACAACACCAAGGATACCTGGTTTGGAACTAGGGTTGCTTAGAAGGGGGGAAAAAAATCCCAGTTTGAATCAGCACTTTTAAGTAAAAACAGTTGCACTGAAATCAGGGGGAACTTCCACTGGTGTTTTTGTTTTAGATATCAAGTTGCAAAAGATTTGATTTTGCTGGGATTTCAGTTGCGGCGAGAATTGTATGTGCCTATTTTTTTTTGGAATAATAAATATAGGCTATTTTACTATGTCAGCAGTTAAGAGATGCCTGGCCTGTTTTAAGAAAGGCCCGTTACCAAGTAGTTTAAGATAAAAACATTTAACAGGAACACCTCCCTCTTTATTAGGGGCCGAGTATTCCCAAAGCTGGTAAATCTGATCCGTTTAAAAGGCATTGATCTTAGAGAGGGAGGCGGGCGGCGTCAGGTTAGGATGCGCGCTTTGACAATGGAATAGAGAACGGCCTTCGCCGTTGGACACGGAGCGAATGAAGTTCGTTGAAAATAATTTTCATGCTATAGGAAAGGCTGTTTTCAATTTTTCTCCTGCTACCGCAGTTAGCCATTAATATAAGGACGGCTGCTTGATACGGAATAGTTGCTGAAGCCGAGGACGAGAATTATTTAAACATAAGTATCTCGGCGGGATTTTAAAAACCTAACAGCCGGTGGCTTCCGTAGACTCTTTCTAGGTGAAGAAATCAGACAAATAAAACGTTACGCCGCACTATATTTTTTTTTATAGGTTTAAGGCTGTTTGCTTGAAGGGATATTTCACCATATAGTAAAAAAAAAAAAATCCAAGGAAACGGCAGCCAGTCATTTCTGAACATTTCTCAATTTAATTATGCTCAAATCCAGAAGCACTTTAGGCAAGTTACAAATGAGAGCATTGAGTACAATAAAACCTGTAATAAAGCAACTTCGTACCATCCACCCGGAATCATTGAGATCAGGCACAATTAACAGGAGCATAAATCCAAGGCAGAATGGAAAAAATGTTAGACTCGGTATTATTGTTGGACGGAGACTTAGTGAAGGAGAGGATGGGGGCTTGGGGGGGGGGGGGGGGGGGGGGGGGGGAGGAAAAATCTCCATAGGAGCCTGTGGGCGCGCGCGCGCGCGCGCACCTGCGCTAAATAGTAGCGCTGAAGTTCGGCAGCGCGAGGGGAGATTCTCTAGCTCAGCAGCGTTAGTGCTAATTTGTAAACACAGACAGACACATTAGATTGACTGTCAGTTTGGGAATTAAAAAGCATGATTTTCATTTTTTTACTTTCTAATCACGTCTGAAACTCCAGCGCGCGCCGCGCACCCGCGTGCCCGGAGCATCACAAGCCTTCCGAGCAGAATTGAAAAGCAGCGGTAAAAAACGCTGCCTGGGACTAGAGGGGAAGCCAGAATTGCTATGGGCCTCGGGAAGCTCGCAGGGTTATCCTCCCTTCTCCTCTCTCTCTCTCACCCCAATATTCCGGATATTCCCCCCCCCCCCCGTTTTCTGTATGCAGAGGTGGCACAGAAACATTCTTCTAGAATCTTAGCACAAAGAACCAGGAAAGCTTTCCCTTAAAATGCTTATTTCAGAGTGAAGAGGCACTGGTAGAAATACAGTTTAAGCCTTTGTGCGTTAAAAAGTAGGGTAAGATGGATAATTCGTGCACGTGTACTTAGGGGTTTGCCCCTAATGCAGGAAGTCTGGATTATAAGTAAGTTCAGGCATTCTTAACTGAAGGTAATGGCTATTGAAATTAGCGGGACCCACTTCGGAGGAGATGCCATTAAAGGAGGACTGTCCCCAAACCAGCCATTCCTGCTTTCCAAAGATTCTGTGCAATTGGAGCCCAGTATTTGCTTTTTTTAAATTCAAAAACGTCAATATAGGGAAATGAATATTATTCTATTTTTTTTATAAAAACACCAAACTAGTTAAAGATAGAGGGAAATAAAGAGCTTCGCGTGTTTCTCTTGGCGTTGTTTAGAAATTCATATCCCTTTTGTATTGCTTTTGTTGCAGCACGTAGAGGACCCCGGTATTAACATCCCAGATCAAACTGTAATTAAGAAAGGTAAGCCACTTCTTTAGCATTCCAAGCATGTCCTCACAAGCTTGATAGTGAAGCTGAGAGAACTTACTAAAGCGGTTGTTTCTCCCCCTGACCCCCCCTCCCCGTAATTTACAACAGAGCTGAAAATGGAAAACGAAATTGACAATCTCGGTTGATAACCCTTTTACTTAATCGCACCCTCTGTATATGTATGATTATATTATCGAGCTAAACAGATCCATGTTTTAGCTGTTCCTAATGACATTGCGGTTCGGAGCTGACTTCTAATTTCTTTAGTTGCCTTGAAAGTATGTTTCATTACCTAAGAAAGAGCCAATCCTGTTCAGTCCCCCCCCCCATGCCCCATCCCTCTTCCTTCCTCCCCCCCCCTCCTTGCTTCAGGTTGAGGAGATTGTTCTGGATTGTTTACATCAGAGGGCTTTGTTGTAACAAGCGAGCAGGATGGCGGATGGGTATTCGCTTGCTTAGCCTGCTCTCTCTCTGCAACGGGTTGGCTTTTCCTAGGATTTCAGCGGCTTCTAATGTCTTGTTGCACTTGTGGTTTTTTGGGGTCTGGAAGATCGCGTCCCCTCGCCTCCCAAACCTTGTCTGGCTTCGGAATTTCGTTTTTTTTTTTTTTAAAGTACTCGCGATGTTGGCAGCAGAGCAGAACTGTTGGCTTTAATTTTAAAACCTGTTCAGGGAAAGGCCGGATTCTGATCCTTTGGTAGGAAAGGTTTGAGAAAGGATCAGTGCGGCTTTCTTACCTAGCAGCAGGGTCTCGTGCTCTACAAAACGGCACCTCCTCGAAAAATCTCAGCCCTACACAATGAAAGCTAAAAATTTACCCCTCCTCCCAGCCTGGAGAGTCTTTGTCACGTCAAATTAGATGTGCAAGGAATAAATCTTAAAGTGATGCTCTTTCCAAGTCGACATGATAATTGGCTCTTTTATTAGTAATCTCAAGAGTTCGTTTAACTCCTATTGTCTCTATTAGCCTCCCCAGAGCTATTAATGTCACAAGTGATCTATCCAAAACCTAGATATCCCTCCTCCACGCTCCACCCTTTAACATTTGGATTAGACCTATTAAAGTGAAAATGGAAAGTATACGAGTGTAGGATGGAGGACAAGAGGAATAAACAGATGCTGATAAGAGTAAATATTTATAATGCAACCAGGTTGGAACATAATGCCAAGTCCATTTGCCTCCAAACAAGACTTGCCCTTATTTTTCAGTTATGTCAGCCGAACTGAACATGCAAAAAGATTTGGGAGAATTTTACCCTTCTCCTGCACATTATTTTTAATAAAGCCCTGCAACTTTCTGTAATTAGGGGGAAAGTGAAAGTTGTGTCAAGGAAGGTTCTTTTCTCCTGGGGAAGCAGATGACAGTTAAGGAGGCAGACAAAAAAAATGTATCAATTTTCCTTTATTTTGTTTGAGGGGGGGGGTAATTGTTATTTAAAGAAAACTGTACTATTACCTTTGAAAACAGTAATGAAAATACCTCTTTGGCGCCACTCTTTCCTATATAAAAAGTTGCAATTGCAGAAAAATGTGACATCTAATTAAATTACTTTGAAACTATTCAATTGAAAGCACTACGGGCTACTCTAGTACAAATTATGCCCATAGTCGTGTAGCTTGTAGCATTACATCCCCCCCACCTCCAAAAACAAGCGAAGGTATATTATGTGGCCGTCCTTTATAAATATTAGCAACAGGGAATGAATCCCCTTCCGGTATCCTTAATGGTTGAAGGCCATGTATCCTTAAGATAACTCTGTTAAGGACAGAGGAGGTTAATTTCAATCCCACCTCTTCAAAATCCTCAATTTTGATTTAGACACAAGATACAC